TCCTTAACATCACTTTCAGATTTTTCATCATTAGTGTATAGGAATGCAAGAGACTTCTGTGCATTAATTTTGTATCCTGCTACTTTACCAGATTCATTGATTAGCTCTAGTAGTTTTCTGGTAGGATCTTTAGGATTCTCTATATATAGTATCATGTCATCTGCAAACAGTGACAGCTTTACTTCTTGTTTTCCATTTTGGATTCCTTTTATTTCTTTTTCTTCTCTGATTGCTGTGGCTAAAACTTCCAAAACAATGTTAAATAAAAGTGGTGAGAGTGGGCAAACTTGTCTTGTTCCTGATCTTAGTGGAAGTGGTTTCAGTTTTTCTCCATTGAGGATGATGTTGGCTGTGGGTTTGTCATATATGGCCTTTATTATGTTGAGGTAAGTTCCCTCTGTGCCTACTTTCTGGACGGTTTTTGTCACAAATGGGTGTTGAATTTTGTTGAAAGCTTTTTCTGCATCTATGGATATGATCATGTGGTTTTTACTCTTCAATTTGTTAATATGGTGTCTCACATTGATTGATTTGCGTATATCGAAGAATCCTTGCATTCCTGGGATAAACACCACTTGATCATGGTGTATGATCCTTTTAATGTGCTGTTGGGATTCTGTTTGCTAGCATTTTGTTGAGGATTTTTGCATCTATGTTCATCAGTGATATTGGCCTGTAGTTTTCTTTCTTCGTGACATCTTTGTCTGGTTTTGTTATCAGGGTGACGGTGGCCTCATTGAATGAGTTTGGGAGTGTTCCTCCCTCTGGTATATTTTGGAAGAGTTTGATGAGGATAGGTGTTAGCTCTTCTCTAAATATTTGATAGAATTTGCCTGTGAAGCCATCTGGTCCTGGGCTTTTGTTTGTTGGAAGATTTTTAATCACAGTTACAGTTTCAGTGCTTGTGATTGGTCTGCTCATATTTTCTATTTCTTCCTAATTCAGTCTTGGAAGGTTGTGCTTTTCTAAGAATTTGTCCATTTCTTCCAGGTTGTCCATTGTTTTGGCATAGAGTTGTTTGTAGTAATCTCTCGTGATCCTTTGTATCTCTGCAGTGTCAGCTGTTACTTCTCCTTTTTCACGCCTAATTCTATTGATTTGAGTCTTCTCCCTTTTTTTCTTGATGAGTCTGGCTAACGGTTTGTCAATTTTGTTTATGTTCTCAAGGAAGCAGCTTTTAGTTTTATTGATCTTTGCTATTGTTTCCTTCATTTCTTTTTCATTTCCTTCTGACCTTGTCTTCATGATTTCTTTCCTTCTGCTAACTCTGTGGTTTTTTGTTCTTCTTTCTCTAATTGCTTTAGGTGTAAGGTTAGGTTGTTTATCTGAGATGTTTCTTGTTTCTTGAGGTAGAATTGTATTGCTATAAACTTCCCTCTTATAACTGCTTTTGCTGCATCCCCTAGGTTTTAGGTCATCGTGTTTCATTGTCATTTGTTTCTAGGTGTTTTTGATTTCCTCTTTGATTTCTTCAACAATCTCTTGGTTATTAAGGAGTGTATTGTTTAGGATCCATGTGTTTGTATTTTTTATAGATTTTTTTCCTGTAATTGATATCTAGTCTCATAGCATTGTGGTTGAAAAACATGCTTGATATGATTTCAATTTTCTTAAATTTACCAAGGCTTGATTTGTGACCCAAGATATGATCAATTCTGGAGAATGTTCCATGAGCACTTGAGAAGAAAGTGTATTCTGTTGTTTTTGGATGGAATGTCCTATAAATATCAATTAAGTCCATCTTGTTTAATGTATCATTTACAGCTTGTGTTTCCTTATTTATTTTCATTTTGGATGATCTGTCCATTGGTGAAAGTGGGGTGCTAAAGTCCCCTACTATGATTGTGTTACTGTCAATTTCACCTTTTATGGCTGTTAGTGTTTTCCTTTTATACTGAGGTGCTCCTATGTTGGGTGCATAGATATTTACAATTGTTATATCTTCTTGTATTCATCCCTTGATCATTATGTAGTGTCCTTCTTTGTCTCTTATAACAGTCTTTATTTTAAAGTCTATTTTTTCTGTTATGAGAATTGCTACTCCAGCTTTCTTTTGATTTCCTTTTGCATGGAATATCTTTTTCCATCCCCTCACTTTCAGTCTGTATGTGTCCCTAGGTCTGAAGTGGGTCTCTTGTAGACAGCATATATACAGGTCTTGTTTTTGTGTCCATTTAGCCAGTCTATGTCTCTTGGTTTGAGCATTTAATCCATTTACATTTAAGGTAATTATTAATATGAGTGTTTCTATTACCATTGCAGATTTTTTCCTTCTCCTGTGTTTCCTGACTAGAGAAGTTCCATTAGCATTTGTTGTAAAGCTGGTTTGGTGGTGCTAAACTCTCTTAGCTTTTTCTTGTCTCTAAAGGTTTCAATTTGTCCGTCAAATCTGAATGAGATCCTTGCTGGGTAGAGTAATCTTGGTTGTAGGTTTTTCCCTTTCATCACTTTCATCACATGTCCTGCCACTCCCTTCTGGCTTGCAGAGTTTCTGCTGAAAGATCAGCTGTTAACCTTATGGGGATTCCCTTGTATGTTTTTGTTTTTCTTCCCTTGCTGCTTTTAATATTTTTTCTTTGTAATTAATTTGTGATAGTTTGATTAATATGTGTCTTGGCATGTTTCTCCTTGGATTTATCCTGTATGGGACTATCTGCACTTCCTGGACTTGATTATCTCCTTTCCCATATTAGGGAAGTTTTCAAATATAACCTCTTCAAATATTTTCTCAGTCTCTTTCTTTTTCTCTTCTTCTTCTGGGATCCCTATAATTTGAATGTTGGTACATTTATGGTTGTCCCAGAGGACTCTGAGATTGTCCTCAATTCTTTTCATTCTTTTTTCTTTATTCTTCTCTGCAGTATTTATTTCCACTGTTTTATCTTCCAGGTCACTTATCCGTTCTTCTGCCTCAGTTATTCTGCTATTGATTCCTTCTAGAGAATTTTTAATTTCATTTCTTGTGTTGTTCATCACTGTTTGTTTGCTCTTAATTCTTCTAAGTCCTTGTTAAACATTTCTTGTATTTTCTCCATTCTATTTCCAAGATTTGGATCATCTTCAGTATCATTATTCTGAATTCTTTTTCAGGTAGACTGCCAATTTCCCCTTCATTCATTAGGTCTGGTGGGTTTTTATCTTGCTCCTTCATCTGCTGTATGTTTTTCTGTCTTCTCATTTTCCTTATCTTACTGTGTTTGGGGTCTCCTTTTTGCAGGCTGAAGGTTCGTAGTTCCCGTTGTTTTTGGTGTCTGTCGCCAGTGGCTAAGGGTGGTTCAGTGGGTTGTGTAGGCTTCCTGGTGGAGGGGACTAGTGCCTCTGTTCTGGTGTATGAGGCTGCATCTTGTCTTTCTGGTGGGCAGGTCCACGTCTGGTGGTGTGTTTTCGGGTGTCTGTGAACTTATTATGATTTTAGGCAGCCTCTCTGCTAATGGGTGGGTTGTGTTTCTTTCTTGCTAGCAGTTTGGCATAGGATGTCCAGCACTGTAGCTTGCTGGTCGTTGAGTGAAGCTGAGTCTTGACGTTGAGATGGAGATCCCTGGGAGATTTTTGCCGCTTAATATTATGTGGAGCTGGGAGGTCTCTGGTGGACAATGTCCTGACCCTGGCTCTCACACCTCAGAGGAACAGGCCTGACACCCTGCCAGAGCACTGACCCTGTGCACCAGACGGCTCAGAATAAAAGGGAAAAACAAGGAAAAGAAAGAAAGAAAGAAAGAAAAATAAAATAAAATAAAATAAGGTTATTACAATAAAAAATAATTTTAAATAAAATTTTTAAAGTAATTTAAAAAAAAGAAAGAAAGAAAGAAAAAAGAGAGCCACCAAACCAAAAAACAAATCCCCCAGTGATAACAAGCGCTAAAACTATACTAAAAAAAAAAAACAGGACAGACAGAACCCTAGGACAAATGGTAAAAGCAAAGCTATACAGACAAAGTCACATGCAGAAGCATACACATACACACTCACAAAAAGAGAAAAAGAAAAAAAAAAAAAAATGTCATGTCATGTCCCAAAGTCCACTGCCTCAATTTGGGATGATTTGTTGTCTATTCATGTATTGCACAGATGCAGGTACATCAAGCTGATTGTGCAGATTTAATCTGCTGCTCCTGAGGCTGCTGGGAGAGATTTCCCTTTCTCTTCTTTGTTCGCACAGCTCCTGGGGTTCAGCTTTGGATTTGGCCCTGCCTTTACGTGTAGGTTGCCTGAGGGTGTCAGTTCCCTTTTGGGAGGTCTGAGTTCTTCTGCCAGCGTTCAGTAGGTGTTCTGTATGGGTTGTTTCCACATGTAGATATATTTCTGATATATTTGTGGGGAGGAAGGTGATCTCTAGTCTTACTCTTCCGCCATCTTGAAGCTCCTCCTTGACTTTGGATTTTAAAATGAGCAGTTAGTCAAAAGAAGGATCAGGAGCTGACTTGAGAGCAAATATTAGTGAGCTCTCATTCCAACAACTGTCTATAGAGCTCTTCTCATAATAGGACCTGATATAGAAAAATGATGTTATTTAACTTCCTCATGTCTTAGTTTCTTTGTTAATAAAATGCTGGAACACAACAGTCATATTGTATAATAGTGAAACGTTTCCATTCTGAAATCAGACTCCATTTGTTTGACTTCCTGCCCGAGCACTTAATGGCTATTTATGTGAAACTCTTCGGAGCTTATGTAACATCTTTGTGGCTCAGTTTTGTCATCTGTAAATGTGGATAGAAATAACCCTGATCGGGTTTTTGTGAGGATTAAATGAGATTATCTGCTTAAAGTTTTTAGAATATTGCCCAGAAATTGTAGACACCTAATAAGTGTTATTATTGTCATTATTATTCTTTTCTCATTGGGTGCATTAAAAATTTAAGTGCTTTAAACCCCAAGGTTTTATTATTACTATTAAAAGTGTTGAAAATAAGAATTTTAGAGAACAGATATTATGCATTTTTCTCTAGGGATGGTGTTTGATTTTTTTTGGTTGTATTTCTTTCTTTATGTTTCAGCTTTTAGTCCAAGATGGAATGAAACATTCACATTTATTATTCAGGTGCCAGAATTGGCATTGATACGTTTTGTTGTTGAAAATCAAGGTTTAATAGCTGGAAATGAATTTCTTGGGCAATATACTCTACCAGTTCTATGCATGAACAAAGGTAATATTCCTAAAAGTAAGATGATTGTGCTAATGTTTATATATAATTGGAGTTTACCAAAGACATGCTTTTATATACCAAATAGCTCTCTCCATGACAGTCAGATGTAAAGGAAAATTTATGTATTGACACATATTTTCTCCCAGTGGAATTAGAGAAATGTGTTCTGATACAGAAGGTGGGGTTGGGGAATGGGAGTTCTAGGAAGACTAATTAGACAAACTTGGCTTGTATGAGAATTTCTCTACATGGACACAGCTCTCTTGTTTCAGTTAAGAGTAGGCATGACTGCCGTGAAGGAATGAAGGATGGGAACTGCACAGAAGGGAGAAGCAGTGAGTCCTTCTTCCCACCTGAGGAGATACTGGGAGCCCAAGGCTCTGTTTTCTTGAGTCTTTCCAGGGCTGCCTTGCAGTTACCTTTCGGGGGTGACTTACACTGTGCTCCCAATTCTATCCTTATTTTTACTTTTCTACCACCATCTGAGATGTACCTAGGAAACAGTCTTTCTGAAGCAGGAGGGTGGTGGCTAATTTTGGAGATGCTGCACTTGGAGGGGGGAGAAGTGTGAGCTGTGTGGTGTTTAGTAGGAAGGCGGGATAGAAACTTCAAATATTTTACTTTGGGGGAAAACTAATATATGGGATGGAATATAACTACGTAGTCCTAGCTTTTATACGTGCTTACTGTATCATTTCTCAGGAGCACTACTGGGGCCACTGTTGATGAATTTATTTTTATTGTTCCAATCAAATGTGATTCTTTTTGCAGGTTACCGTCGTGTTCCTCTGTTTTCCAAAATGGGTGAGAGTCTTGAGCCTGCTTCCCTGTTTATCTATGTTTGGTATGTCAGATAGCAACTAATGGTGCCGGACACGGTGTTAGCTGTACATCGCAATAAAACAGCCAGAATGGGTGTCCATATCTTTCTCCTTTTTTCCTAACATAAAGCAAAATAATTATTTTGAGATATTGAGCCAGTGCATTTTTAAATATGCAAAATAGAACACTGGAAACAAAACAGAAACTTCAGAGGGTCCCGACAGTATGGCATTCTCATCAGCCAATTTCTCCTGCCCCTCTGTTGCTGAGGCTGCTCTTTCAACTTGCTTGTATCATGTTTAATTAGTAGAATTTACAAGATGCTAAAATATGTCTGATTGTATAAGATAGGTTGGCAAGTATTTGGCAGTATAAAAGAAATATGAAATCTAGGAGTGTTTTAATTTCTAGACACCCACTACTGCATATTGTAGTAGGAAGGAATTAGATTCCCAGGTGCTTGGTGCCCTTTTGAATCCTGGAGAGCAATTAGCCCCTGCATTCTCAGACTAGTTCTCAGATGCTGTGCACTGGATTGGGTACCCTGTAATTATACAGACACTCTTATGAGTGCATATGATTTTGATTTGCATTCAAACTGCCTCCAGACTCCGTATCTATAAAAAAGATCTACTATGGGGACTTACATGCTTGGATCTCTGAATGAATTTTCAGTTTCTGAATCTGCACTAAATGCACATTGAAGGTTGCCTCTTGGTCAGAGATGAGATTCCTGTGCTGTTTCATATGCTGGGCTTCTCACCATCAGCAGGACTTTGCTTTACTAAATGTCATATGTAGAAGAATATGGTTCATTATTAACTGCTTTTCAAAAAAACAGGCAATACTAATACTTGTTCCACCACGTTGTTGTGTGGTAGTGAGATGAAATCACCAGTACAGTTTTTGACAAATTAGGGGGCCCTCATAGGTATTTGTTGAAATTAAATCTGAATTTATAACTAAAATAACAAAAACGATTCTTTGTTTGAGATGTTTACTAATGTATTATCAGTTGATGGCCGAAAAAATATACAAAAAATCACATCTATCATGTTTTACTATTATCATGGTTTAGCCTCAGAACTAAATATTTAAAATAAAAATGCCACTGGGAATTCAAATATCCAACCCATAAGGAGTCAGATGCCCCAGATTACTCAGTGCATAGTCATTCAGATCCTCACTCATGGGCTCTCTGGATTTAAGATTAGGGTACAGTCTCCCCAGGAGGGATGCACAGCCAGTTCTCAGAGACCTGCTTCTATTTTGCTAGATTACAGGAGGATCTTTACTTATTAATTTACTTATATTGCTTTTATTTTATGAAAAAGCTAATTTCAAATCTACATTAAAACTAAGCTGAATACAAACTCTTAGTGAAGGAGGCCTGGTGGTTCTGTTTACAAAAATGTGGCCACTGTCTTTTGCCCTTAAAACTTCAGGAAGGGCCCTTCAAACGGCTTCGTGTTTGCATGTTTCAGTGCCAGAGGGTAGGAATAGACGCTGGTGTCCACTGTCAGATGTTCACCAGCTACCAGAGCATCACGTCCCTTCAGCAGGTCGTTCTTTGGTAAGGAAATTACTTCTGCAAAATCCCCATCTCCTGGCTTTGGCTTAGGCCTTACATGTTCAGCATCATCTCCATTGATAGTTACTGTCACGATGTGTGTGGTACAATTTGACAAACCTGGATCCATACGTACAGGTGGAGAACATTCAGCAACATCACCCTTATAGCCAGTTTCTTCCTCAAGCTCCCAAAGAGCAGCTGCTTCTGGGCTTTTGTTGTCATCGATGAGACCCATGGGGAATTCAAGGCAGCAGCCTCCCATTGGTGGTTGGAACTGCTTCACCAGAACGATACATTGGTAAACGAAGGGTTGTTTGCAGCACTGAGGTAACCACCACCCCATCAGCCGACTGTCCTTACATGGTTGTATGCTTCCCAGTTTCCCAAGTTCTTGTTAGATCAGTAGGATCCCTATAAGTTGTTTTTTTTAAGTGTGACCCATTTCAGAAGGATTTTATTTATAATATTTATGTTCAACTTAATAGCAGGTGGGATGTTCAACCCATTAACCCAAGGATTTAACCTTCTCTAAACCCCTAAAGCCTTTTGAAGATCTGGAATTTCATGAGGTTTAAAGACTTTGATCGCATGAGTTTTGCAAAAGAGTTCATTAATTCTTGCAACAGGAAAAACTTATTTCTCATTTATACTAATAAGATTTGAAATAAGGAAGGAAAAAGGATGTATTTCCTTTTCTCATTTTTCTTCAGGTACCACTCAAACTCAACTAACTGTGAAGACAAAAATCTATCTTTTTTTAAATATTCCTAATTCACTTGTAGAAAAATAACAGTGTTGAGGAGCAGAAGAAAACATAAGAAACAGCTAAAATGAACCCCTGGGCTGTGGTAACAGAAGATCTTTTAACTTTTAAACTCTTAGTTTAAATGTCAGTTCCTCAGGGAAGCCATCCATGATCTCCTAGATTAGGTTACATTCCTTGGTTTATGTTTCCATACAACTGATTAAAGTGACAGCTAGGAGGTGACTTTGTGCTCTCAGGGAGGCCTTGGTGTTGCTAAGAGCTGACCTGACACTCACAGTCAGGCCATGGTGTTCGTCTGCCAAACCTGAACAGTTTCACATCAGCACCCGACAAGGCCACTCTGTGACCACAATGGGTAAGGAGAAAAACAGAACCAGTCTGTAATCATGACAGAGCATCTGACAAAAGCATGAATATTGTCCAAACACAAAAGTGCCAAACAGTCCCCAGGAAACATGAATGACTGTCGGATTCTTCACCTACTTCCTTGAACCCTGTCCCAAATCATCTGACACAAGCCTGAATCCAACAGTAAGTCCTTTCCAACACCCCTTCACTGAGACACCCCATGGTTCTTCATTTGTGTCTCCCTTATTGCAATGAAGAATCGACCTACTGTGTGTGTTTCTGGTGGTCTTTGGCTGGAAGGCATTAACATAAACCTGGACTCTTCCTTTTGTTACTCTCATTACCTTGTAGTGATTAGTGACAGGAAAGTTTTGTTATGTTGTTAATTTTGACCTTTACTTTTTTTCTGCTTCTGGTTGTTTAGAGCCTCAAGTAGAAAACATGCAGAATACAATCTAGACTTACCCTGACTTTTGTTTGGGGGATGGTGACCACGGGAGGCCACGGATGCTGACTGCTGAGACATAAAGTTGCCCTATTTTTGAAAAGAAGAATGGAGAAACTCCCTGTAGCTGCAAAAAGGAGGTCTTTATTTTAATTTTGGGTAGGGGGGTGTGTATGGTGTTTTTGAGGGATGCAGACACATGCATCCCTCAAAAATAGTGCCTCGAGGGGTTCCACTCAAAACCTTTATGCAAATTTCAAGGGTCATTTGGGAGCCACAATGGCAAAAAGCTCATGTTGTGGATTAGGATCCAGAAAATGGAATCGCTTACATTTAGTGAAGCCCTTATGGGCTTGAACAATGAACATTTTATTGGGAGAATGTATGAACTGGATTCTGTCTTTCAGGAGTTATTAAAAGTCCATATTTTTGGATAGTGCATAAGCATTTGTTGAATTACATTTCTTTCAAAGTAATAACCCTCTGGAACTGTTTGTACCAGCAAAGAAAACATTCTTATGATGCATTCTGGATTCTTAGGCCATGAAGTTTGAGCCCTCTGTAGTATTCAGAGTTAAGCTCTTTTTACCAGCCACTAGAAATTTTCATTTAAAACATCAAAGGGGTAGATTAAAGTGGAATTTGAGCTTATGAGAGATTGGTGTTCTCTGTGTCTTGTATTCTTACACACCAGCTGAGCACGTGGTGGTGATGGTGGTAGTGGTGGGAGTTGGTGTTAAATTCCTTAAAAACCTACACATTTTCAGGGACTAGTGGCCTCTTTCTACTTCCCATCTGTATACAATTTAACTTTCACACTTTCAGTCACTATTCCTATTCTTCTCCCAGGACAGTCCCTTTTCTAACATGAGAGTTCCATCTCTGCAATGTTAGCAGTGCCTAACATGTGCCTGATAACAGAAATTAGGGAATTCCCTGGAAGTCCAGTGGTTAGGACTCCCCACTTGCACTGCTGAGGGCACGACTGGGTCGAGGAGCTAAGATCCAGCAAGCTGCATGGCAGAGCCTAAATAAATAAATAAATAAACAAGTAAATAAATAAATAGAAAATAACCTAAATCCTTGCAGCAATCTTACATTTTATTGTTAATGTAACAGGCTCAGAAACATTGAGTTGCCTAAGGTCTATAGTAAATGACAGAAACACAGTTATTGACCCAAGGCAGTCAGGAAAAAAAAAAGTTGATTAAGTTACACAATATACAAAAATTAGCTCAAATGGATATTAGACTTAAATGTTGAATGATAGTGTTTACCAGTTTATTTGCTGTTTTTTGTGGAGGGATCGACCTTTGGAGTTTCCTACTCCATCATTTTTGCTGATGTCATTTTCCACCAATATTATTAACATATTCAATTAGTATAATACTTTTATTACAATGAATGAACCAGTATTGCTACATTATTATTAACTGAAGTCTGTACTTTATTCACATTTCCTTACCTTTTGCCTAATGTCACTTTTCTGTTCCTGGGTCCCATCTACGATTCACATTACACTTGTCATATTTCCCGAGGCTGCTGTAGGTTGTGACAGTTTCTCACACATTCTTTGTTTGTGATGAACTTGATGGTTTTGAGAACTACTAGTCATGTATTTGGGAGAATGTTTGTCAGTTGGGTTTGAATAATGCTTTTCTCATGATTAGACCAAGGCTACCAGTTTTTGGAAGGAAGACCTGAGAGGTAAAGTGCCACTTTCATAAATCTTATCAAAGGTGCATTCTATCAACATGACTTCTCACTGTTGATATGGACGTTTATTACCTGATTGAAGTAGAGTTTGTCAAGTTTCTCCTCTGTAAAGTTCTTTTTCCCTGCTTTTCATGCCATACTCTTTGGGAGGAAGTCACTATGTGCAGCCCACACTTAAAGAGTTGGT